GTTTCCATCTTCTTCTTTTTTATTTATTTTTTATTTTCTATCCCAATCTCTGACACCAATTTCTTACGTCCCTGGTCGTTAGTTAATTTTCCGTAAACATTCTTTCCGAAGAAAATTTACCGATACAAGTCCTTTCTTAAATAAAACTGGTTTATTCTTTCTGAATACAACTTTGCAATACACTTAATTTCCACAGTCGCGCTATAACAAACGCTATAATTCACAACGAACGTTTCACGTGCTCGACTCAACAATACTCTCTCTCTCTCTGTCCGCAGTTCAATTACACATTACATTGTTGCCGTCACGTCTTGACCGTCTTATATATAAAAGAATACCGAAATCTAGTAAACGCTGGAGCATTTACGAACTTTCGAGAATATGAGGTGTTACTAGGGTCACGTGACTTCCGCTGTCGTAACAATACTATTTTTATTACAGTCAATAAATAAAATATATTGCCGTAAAATCCGATAAGTTTGGTAGCGATTGGAAAATATTGTAATGATTCGAATTTTTATTGAATATTATTTTGTTTATCCTATTCGAACAAAGTACATAAATAAATTATGTAACTGGCTACTTAATTATTTGTAAAAGTAATTGCGACATGTTTCAAATACAATTTTATCACCCTTATTATGAGAGTAAAACGTTTTCATTATTTAATTATCAATTTGATATACACAAAATCGGTGTGGGATTACTACATGTTTGGAGAGACTAATATTTCGAAAAATTTACGCCAGATATTATTATTAGGAGAATTTTGACATAATTTTTTTCAAAAGGTTATATATTACAGGTAACAACAATATAGGTCTCTAGAATTATTACAAATATACTTCAAAATGTTATCGGTTTATGTCCTTAACATTATACATATAGTACAGTTTATGTAATACTAGCGTGTAGCCCATCAGAAATAACGGAGCAATTACCTCCACCCACAATCCATAGTATACCCTAACGTCACATTACATAGCTAACTGAAATATATAAATTTTGCGAAATTAAACCTGACCAACAAAGAGGCAGAAAAGTGCAGTCGAAGCAATCAAACGTCGGTAAATTCCTTTGTGAGCCAATCAAAATTAAGGTCATTCATGAAATTAATTCGTGGGATATTCATAGAATAATTATTGGTAAAAAACAGTTAGATTAACATCTTCTAACATATAGAAAAGCCAGTGCGTTTTGGTAACCTACGTTCCTTTAATGGCTTTTATGTTACGTTGCTTAGCAACGAAAGTATAACCTGATATTGCCGTTAATCTTTGTACTGAGAGTATAAAATGAAATCTATAGACAACAAAATTGGAAAAATATTTGTTGATTTCTTAATTTAGAGTCTCCGTTGATTAAAGATGTTGTTTTTTATTTAAAACTTTGGTGATATAACAGAAAAGAAGCTTAATTCAGAAACGATTTAATTATAAATTGAATCGATATTTTTACTTTCATGGTAAACTTTATCAGTTTATGCACTTGGCTCTAGGCTAGGTGTTCCCAACACTTACTACATTTGTGAGGTTTCACAGCACCTTTTCACCTTTATCACTAACTAAAATTGTAATGGCCAGACAGTGATCGGATTATTCTATCTGGATAAATACATTTTGGCTTTAATGATGACTCCCATAAAGAGAAATCAATCGTGACGTGACACACACCGGCTTTTATATAGGTTAGATTTATATAACAACCAAAATGAACTTTAAGCATTGATGCTTTTACGTTAAATTTACGGAATATTGGACTGTAACTGTGTGGTGATATTTAACTGACAATGGCGATTTATCCACCAAGGAAGAAATGTCCATAAAACTTGTGGGAAAAGTTATTTTTTTTAAAAAAATAGGTTTTTCGCAAATGCAAAAAGGTCTATCGTATATAATTAAGGGTAATTCTAATATTGCTTTAAAAAGTCAATTTAAAATAAAATAGAAAAGTTAATACCATGTTAGAATAATGTAGTAATTGAAAAAGTTAAGATAGTACCAACTGCTTGTTTTTTTTTCTTTGCTTGCTTGTACAGATTGTAGGGGGCGTGGTATACTAACTGATCAATCAGATGTAATAAGCCCGTCGATTAATCAATTATCAAATACTAATAATCGTCCAGCTCTACAACAAATGATAGCGTTGATGTTTTGCCGCATATGAAGATAAGGTATAATAAAAAAAAAAACTCAGAAGGGATAAGACAAGAATTATCCGCTGTAAATTTTGCAACTAAATTAATTGGAGAAACTTTTCAAATGCGGGAAAAAATTCAAATAAATGATTAAATATTTAAGATAGTTGTGTTCTTTATATAAAAAAAAAGATTGGCTGCCAGTAAAAAACCAGGTTTGTTTATAAAGGATAAGATTAAAGAAAAGCATAATAGATAAAAGATGTTTCAATTGACTGCAATGATGATAAATTTGGAAAATTAAAGATCAAAAGCGTTGGTCAAACAGGGAATTAAGAAATCAAAAAGTATAGGAAAAGAGGTTAGCTGAAAATGTAAGTATTAATAGTAAGAATTCCTTTAAATACATTAGGCAGGCCTGGAAAAATATTTTTAGATCTAGGGACCAGGTGTACCTAATCTAACTTCACTACTGTTTGTACTGGGATGGCTCGATTATCAAATTCAACATTTTTTTTCTTTTAATGAAGATCAAAGCTATATTCCTCATCCTGAACAGTTGCTAGACGGAAACAAGACTGAACAATATTATCGCATTAATTATCATCTTGTTAAGAAAAAATTAGGAAGTTTAAAGAATGATAAAGCTGCTGGGCCAGATAATAATTACCCAAGGGTTTAAAGATTGGATATATGAGTTGAGCTGGGTGATTTAATCGATTATCAATGAATAGTAATTACATCAATTAGTGCTCCGTAAACTAATCAAAATTACGATTCATCGATTTATATGACTAAAAAATCAACTACTCGAAATCATGGTTTTCGAATATTCAAGTATTGAAATATTGCTATTATGTTTGTTTGTTTGCACAAACCTACATAATGGGTGGGTGGGGGAGATGCTTTGTATTTGAGAGTTTCTGCACATCCCAAAGAATAACTGTATTTTTTTTATAAGAACCTAAACTACTGAGAATATATCATCCATTTCTTGATTTACAAGCATTTCCTTTATTTTTAGAACAGGCCTTGATTGAAACCTTACTATGGTGCCACTTCAAGTAACTTCATCATCTATCAAAAGTGGTGTATATATATAATAGCCAAATGTCTGTCTCTCTGTTGCGCTCCGTATCTCCTGAATGGTTAATCGTAGAA